CACCACTCATAAACCCTAAACGATCCAATAACCATAAACCCTACACGGAGAGCTGTCGTCACTGATTTCACCCTCATTTCTCTGACGCCATCATCGCTCCCTCCACACCCACAAGACAGAAAGAGAGTGCGTTTTTACTCATTACCCTTGCCTCCTTTGCTCCCATTGGTAATCATAATTTCTATCACACACTCTGAATGTGTTTTTTATCTCAATTCATTCAAAAAATTTATGTATATATACGCTTCCAATCGCATTGCGCTTGAAAACTGAACAACTGAAACCACGCATACATGTTGATGGTGTGCATGAAGTTAGGATCTAAATCAGTGGTTTTTCATCTCGATCAGGACGAAAAAACCTGGTTAGTCGTTCTTCTGTTTTTTCGTTCGTTATGTGTTTAAATATCACATCAATCGTAAATATTGATTCATAATTTTGATCGATATCCACATTTGGAATTCTTCGATTTCGATAGTTTCTTTTTGTCCCCAATAATGAAATCTCGACGCCCTTTTACTGGGGTTTTTGATTCTAGGATGTAAATTGTTTTTTGGGTTTCTTTTGATACCCACATTCGTAACTGAATCCTGACTATTAACTAATCTGTTTGAAGGGTTTTGCTTTGATTTCGTGATGAATGTTTAAGCATCGTTCTCGATGTTTTTTAGATGTGGATCTAATATTAATACTTTGTGTGAACGAATAAAAATGCAGTAAATTAGAACATCTGGGAAAATTTCATTAATGGAAGAAGTTACTGCCCTAATTTTAAAAGAATACCTACATTTTGAAATCCAAGGGTCAAAACAAGTACTTTTGGACGTTGAAATTGATATGGAATTCTCTCATATATTTAGTAAAATTTTGTGAACTGCATTAAGCTTATAAGAATCATCATGCGTAGTAAGAAAGTTTGTGTCAAGTTCATAACAAAATTTCACATTAATATTTGCAGGACTTGTTCTTCTTGCCTTCCGAGTGATGTTACCATTGAAGTTGGAGACATTTCATTCCATCTTCACAAGGTAGGTCGTCACTTGATTTATTAGTATCAATATCATATACACAGTTTGTGCCTTTTAATGTATCTATTTGTGTATTTTTGTATGTATATGTGTATATGTATGTAAATGTTTTTGTTTATTTATCTATGTGTGTATGTGTATTTTTTATGACCATTTGTGTGTATATATGTATATTTGACTATCTATGTCACTATGTATATGTGTATTTTTCTATGACTATTGTATGCCACTTTTTTTTCATAGATGCGAAAATTATTGGTGGGAATCCTCAAATGGCTTTCATGATGTAAAAATTTTCATGGTGACACATATTTATATCCATATGACATGATTATTGTTTTCTGTAATCTTAATTGTTGGTTTATATATGTAGGGGTAGAATGAAGGTGAATGACAGTTTTAATGCAACCCAATAGTTCACTCATGATATATTTCTTAAACATGTCTTTCATTTTGACAAAGGATACTTTAAAGTATGATTATGCTAATGTTTGATAATGTATTTTGTTTAGGGCTTGTGGTTGATTCCTCCTTTAGACTTTCATTAGGCGGGTAAGGTATATATTGACAGATTACTAATAATTTCAAATGTTAACAAAAACTTATTAGTTTTTTTGCTTCTTTGTGACCCTTTCTAGGTTCTTCCATTCAACAGTAAACCATGTGATGTGACAAAAAGATTTTTGAAGTTTCTTCCCAAAAAACCATTTTACATGTCATTCCCACTTCTTCCTCGACACGATTATAAGCCCTGCTCTTACTATTCAAAAGCTAACAGCTTAGCTGCTTCGGTGCTGATGTGAGATGGTATGAATGATTATTTGATGTGATAATGTAAAATTATTAGAATGACTATTAGATATAAATTCAAATCATATTCATCTTTAACTGTATATAATTCTTCCTTTTAAACTACTAATTTTATGGTTTTTTAGTAATTCTTCCTTTAGTAATTTGATGTGATAATGTATCATTTTTTTTGTCTTGCTACTGACTCTTCTCATGTTTGACTGGTTCCTGAGTTGTATACAAATATTTTTGTACATTTGTATCTATAGGTCTGTCGATTTTCAGTATTTGAGTGTATCTGCAAGTAGTTGGATGGCTATCTGTCTGTGTAGATGTGTATGTATGTTTTTATTTGTATCTGTGTGTGTATGTGTATGTTTATCTGTATATTTATTTGATTGTTTATGTGTATATACCTAATTATGCATGTGAATGAATTTGTGTGTGATTTAGTAAGATTATTAAACAAACTGTACCTTGATTTATTGTTGAAAATTTGAAATTGTCGAAGTTGCTTTTGCCGATGTCCTTTGTTTTTTTGAGTTTACCAAGAAAATACTAGAATATTTGTACAACCCACTATTAGATGAATTAACGTGTCAATATGATTACAGGAACCGAGTGTCAATTGGGGAAAATGTCACTTTTGGTTGCTATTGGTCTTCTTTATGATGCAAGTGTGCATGGTTTTACCAGCCTGATGAACATAGCCGATATATATACTGCTTGGAATCAGAGTGAACATGTGGTTATAAGTATGTTGGGTAATTACATCTTCTCATCTACATTTAAACCTTATTTGATTAAAAATCCCAATAAGAATTAAAAGGTACATTATAAACAAAAATAAATGTTTAATCATTTATGGTGTCATCTTTGTAAAAGTTGATTGTAAACCATGGCAAGGATGCTATTGGATGCTCAAAACTTTTCTTCTTGATAAGAACTTGCTTAAATTAGTGTCAACTTTAGTTTTTCTTTAAGATAACCGGTGGTCGAGATTATAAGTTGTTATTGCTCATTTCTCTTTTTCATTTATTCATTTTAACAGAGATTTTGCCGATGATAGGTAGAGAAAATACTTTGTTATTTCCGACAAACAATAATGTTGGGAAACACAAGAGTTTCTATCAGGGGTTTACCGGACCTAGGATATGGACGACCGTAGTTGATAATTTGATAAAGAACAATCGTTAGATGTGAACGCAGAGACCTCATTTGTTACTAGAATTTCATATTTTTTTAGAATGAATGTTGATTATTGTGTCTCTGTGTGTGTTTATTATTCGGGAATGGCGATTGTATTATTCGTTAAGTGAGGTTTTTAGGTCTGTAAATCACAATATATTTTAACTATTTTGGAATTGATGACATGATTACACTTGTGATTTGTAAATGATAAGAATCCAAATTAGTATGTATTTTGGTGGCTGTACCGTAAGTATCTTTAGAACTTCATTTTATTTTATATTATAAAAATATATATAACTTGGTGGCTGTATATTAGTAGCTTCCATATTGATGTGTATGTTTTAACCGACAACAAGTTTTTCATATATATTTTTTTAATAGTTTTTGGCTTTAGTATCTCTAAAATAATTTGTATGTTTAGCAAACAATGTGTGCCGAGTATCAAATAAATTATGTCATCCATTCAAAGTGAAAACTTGAATATAAGGTAAAAGAAATTTTTATTATATGTTTTATAGTTACGTAATAACTATATGTTAATATTGAATTATAATACATACAATTATTTTGTCTTATTTCAGCTAATTTACTATTTTAGCTAACAAGTTCTAGCCTATCATCTTTAGTCATTTTTTAAATGTACGAAACGTTTAAATAACAATTTAACACTTTTAAGTTTGAACTTTTTGATTTATTATATTAGTATAATAACTGAAGCTATAAATATACCATAAATGTTTTTGGAAAAAAAGATAGTCTATATTTTTCATGGTAACAAAATTTTAGAAAAATATTCTTTCAGTAGACAAAATAATACCTTTTGATAAAAATTTCAGTTTTTTTAATTAAAAATTTGAGATTTAACATTACATAGCGATGTCAAAAGGGTCATGACATAAAAATACAATTGACATGAGGTTACATACTCTTCAACAAAATTTTGATTTTATTCCAAAATAGCAATACATTTTTATTTTTATACCCAAAATATTTTTACACCGAAATAGAATGCCGAAAGCAAAGTTTTCAGTGAAAGATAAAAATTTACTGTCCACTAAAAGAAAACAAAGCAGCTTCCGATCAATACTCACCACTCCCTGGTAAAACAAAAAAGAAGACTAATGGTTGCTTGTAAATAATTCATCAAATGAAACAAATCGTCACGGTAACATTGCACACCCCTAATTATATAAGATCGTCGGTTTCCCAATACAAATTGTTATTTTGATAATTTTTTTTTCGCGTCCCGTGCAGCTACCCCACCTAGATAGATGCTATTCACCGAAAGGAACTATTTGACAAAAAACATTCCGGAAAAAGGCTAATAGGAACCATCCGAAAGGAAAACGAAACTAATCGCAGCATGGAATCTACCCGCTGAAAGAAATTATCTAGCGTTGCCGCATCGTGTGGGTACCCCACTAGTATATATATATATATATATATATATATATATATATATATATAATATATATATATATATATATATATATATATAGGTTCAAATGTTTCTAGCAACTATTGTGTGCATGTATGCACGAATGAGAATTGAGGAAATAATAAATAATTAAATAAACAATTTAAGGGTATAATTATAATCTTTACTATATTTATTTATGGTAGATAATTAAAATGCTTATTGACATATATATAAAATAATTAATTTAAAATTATTTGTCAGTAATTAAGGGAATGAAGCCTATAATTAGGGTAACACAATCATATTTATAACCTACATCACCGTCTTCATGCCGCCTCCTCCATCTCCACCGGCCGCTGTCTGCTTTTTTAACTCCACGCACATTGCCAGACCACCATCATCACCATCCGGATTCCGCCATCTTCCATTCCATTCTTGCTTAACTGCAGTGCATATTTCAAGATGGAAATCGGAGATGAAAAAGACACATGAATGATGAATATATATTCATCGTTTACAGAGTCTTCAATTTAAAGGATTTTATTGTTCGATTTTCGTATACCAGATATATTATGCCGACTAGATGGTGCTGTTGCGGAACAGAGTATTCAATTTCCCCGTCTCCCTATCTTTGGGGACTTTCATCAAACACATTGAGCGCGCTTCAAATCTCAATCGTCAATGCCTCCCACTTCGACACCGTAAATCCTCTACAGAAACAACAAGTCCAGCTCTATATCGACGCTCTTCTCGATTGGAACCACGTTAAACTTGTCACCGTCTTTATAATTCTCGGCTTAACCTAAGTATTCAGATTAAGCTTTTATCCAAAGTGGTAATTGATAATTTTCTCTTTTTGGATTACTGGTTTGTAGAAGATGAATCTTACTGCGGTTAAAGAGGCAAGTGATGTTATGGATAGACACATTGAGAATTCGCTTTCCATTATACCCCCAATTCAGAGCTCATATATTTTGCATTGTGAATCTTCATTTGAAAACCTCAATCATGTAGACGTGGGAAGTGACGTGGGACTTCCTGGATTAATATTAGCCATTGCTTGCCCTGGTAAACTACCTCTCAACTCTTGTTGAACTTCTTGGTAATGATGTTTATTTTTTTTTGGTAATGATGCAATGGAAGAAATTTAAAACATTGAGTTTCAAGGCACCCACTGTTAGGACGAAGAAGAAAGAAAATGCGAACTTTTTTTTTTTAATCTCTTGAATATATAAATTTGTTAAAAGTGATTTGATTTGAGGATTATATTCTATTAGAATAAATTACAATTCGTTAGTGTCAACTACATTCTAACCGTCCATTACAATTGAAGTTTTTTTTTATGCAGCCTTATTATTCATTGTTCAGGCCTGCACGAAAAAAAACAACAATATTCTTGCCAGAATAAAATCTATGTATTCTGTCAGAATATTTTTTGTGTATTCTGTCATATTCTATGTATTCTACAAGAATATATAAAGTGATAGTTAATTTCAAGTAACATGTTTTTAACCATATTAGTTTTTGTTGTATTTGTGATAGGAACGGCTGGAAGAATACGTTGAAGACCTAATAGGAATAACTTTGAAGAATACATAAAGTTTGATCATACTCACAATTTAAGAATGTTGTTATTTTTAAGATTTTTATTTATTTTTGTTGATATTCTTTTAGAATATATATAATTATATTAAAATGTATAAGGCTTTTAGTCTGTAAGAATATTTATGAATTTGTATTTAAGTTTGGTTATATAAGAATATATGTTAGAATGTTGTTATTTTTCAACCTCGGATTCAAGAATGTTGTTATTCTTCAATAATATTCTAATAGAATAAAATTCTGAAAGAACATCATTCTAACAAAAAAATATTCTGACAGAATAAAATCGGTTATGTATACAAATTACTTTAGAATTAAAATTGAATTAATTAAAAAAATCCAGATTTTTAATATTAGGAGAATTAATTATCCTTAAAAATCCGAAAATTTCCTTTTATAAATGTAGTTAATTGTCCAAAATACTCTTTTGCTAAAATTTGTGTGATTATATGATACATGTTATCCCATTGTAATATCATACACCCTCAAATCATATCCATTGATTAATTCCATCCGTTGGTCCAGATCTGTGCATTCTGGCACACAATAGTTAGTAAAAACAAAATAACCTAAGCATACACATATATATATATATATATATATATATCTATATATATATATATATATATATATATATATATATATATATATATATATATGGGGATAGTTCAAATAAAAATAATAAATATTGTGAGAATGTAAAAACATTATTTTTATGTTATTATTCTGCAATGAATTTTGTATCTACAGCTTTATGTCATTATTCAACAATAAATAAATGAATAGTCACATGTTAAAACTAAATTTAGAATTGACTACAAAAATGCTCATACATAAATTTATAATAGAATGATAACATTGTAATGAATATATGAATAATCAAACGTTAATATTCATATTAGAATTACTTTAACAATACAAATATACAACATTTGTTACAAAATAATAACATAAACATAGTGTTTTTACGTTCCACACTATTCACCGTTTTTATTTAAACTTACATATATATATATATATATATATATATATATATCAGGGTTGTAAAAAACGCTCAACGTTAGCTAGTCGGTGGCCTGAAGCTAAGGGATTAATTGAATAGGCGGGGATTAATCAGATGATTAATTTGGGACCATTAATTGTTAAATTGTTGAATTTTATAAAATTAAATATGAATAATATCATTTCAAAGTTTGTAAATACCAGTAATATCATAACAAAATAGATATATATGATTGATACAACACTAATCATACCTTAAATATTTTCTTTTGAGATAGAACATCTTCAAAGTGTTAAAGTTTCATCGTTTTCTACTACTGCACTCATTATGTATGTTGGGATTAATCGTTAGGTGTCTTCTAGTCAGTTAATTAGCGCCTATGGTTTAATCGGAGATTAATCCAAACCTAGTCGGGACTTTTACAGCACTGATATATATATATATATATAATATATATATATAGATATATATATATATATATATATATATATATATATATATATTATATATATATACATACCAATTTATAACCATATAAATATCCTTTTTATTCTACTATCAAAATCACATCATCTTCCATCCTTTTCTATTTATTTCATTTAGTTTACAACAAAAATGAATCTCAATTACCCAACCCTAAAATATGGCAGAAGAAAATAGTGTGTTTATAGTTCAACCACGGTAACTAGAAACATTTTCGCTTTCGATGCATCAATTCTGGTTTATCGTCACCAACTTGATTCCCTTATTCAATCTCCTCTACAATTTTAATACCAAAATGTTTAACAATACTAGTTGATGTAAGTGCTAAATGTTAACTGCAGTATGTTCAACAACTTTATCATATTTATCGATCAACTTTCACCAAATCAACAACATCATAGAGCCCTCCAACCCCAAAGCTAAATCCTTACCCTACGACCCTTGTTGAATCTCAGGATTATCGGGTCTCGATGAAGGTCTCGAACCCTATTATGATAAGGAGATTCGAAGCTTCGTACCGGAAATACAACACAACCAGTCAAGAGTTCTCCGGGATCGGGTCCTGGGAGAACCCTCTGATAGTTAAATTAGTCGACGTTTGTTATTCGATTTCGATTCGTTTGGGAGAGAGAGAGAGAGAAAAAAAAAAGAGATATCCGCTTACATCGAGGTGTATGTTTGTGTAGTGTATATATAGTCGACGATATTTTTACCTTGGGGAAGAAGGTAGAGGTTTTGGTGCACTTTTCGTGGGACAGTGTGCGTGTCAGACCATTGTTTGTTGGGAAGGAGCCGAAACTTGTACCTTTTGTCTTGGGAAGGAGCATCCTGGTTGGACGAAGCCGAACCACTTGTGTTAAGGATGAACCGAGTTGGCCGAGGCCGAACCACTTGTTATGAGGATGAACCTGGTTGGCCAAGGCCGAACCACTTAGCCGAGGGCCGAACCACTTGTGCTGAGGATGAACCTGGTTGGTCGGCGATGAACCACTAGTGCTGAGGATGAACCTAGTTGACCGAAGCTGAACCTTATTAGCAGAACCATGTTCGCCTATATCCGAAAAAAGGTATGATCATGGATATATGTTATCAAGTCCCCTAAGTCTAAAGTAGGAGCGACTCAATGTTCGGTCCTGCTTTGGACTTATACCAGCCGCATATGCAATAAAATGTCTTCATGCACACATGAACGAGATTAAAGTTATGGTATACTCTGTTCATGACTTTTTGTGATCATAATGTATCGAATATAACCAGTTGTGTCGTAAAACTAATCATTGATCGCATCACCTTGAGAAGGGAACTGCCCATTAAGTCCCCCAAGTCAGAAGTAGGAACAAGTCGACATTTGGTCCTGCTTCGGACTTATACTATCCCGAATTATAGCAAAAAATGGTGTACAAACCAAAGTGACCCCATTTTAGACGAACCATTGTGTGAAAATCATGGTAGTTTGTATTTGGTCTAACCATGGTGTAAGAACCGTGGTGACCTATTCTTAGCCAAAACAAGGTGTGACAACCATGGTGACTTTATTATGTCGAACCATGGCACCAAGCCGATGATGACTTGTTATGTCGAACCACGGTGATTAGCCATGGTGGATTTGTAGGTGGAACCATCGCATCGGCCGATGGAGCCACTAAATGGTGTCGAACCATGGTGATGAACCATGGTGGCTTTATTACGTTGAACCATGGCACTAAGCCAATGGTGACTCGCTATGCCAAACCATGGTGATTAGCCATGGTGGCTTTATAGGTCGAACCTTGGCGTCAGCCGACGGTGACACTAAATGATACCGGACCATGGTGGCTTTATTATGTCTAACCATGACACTAAGCTGATGGTGACTCGTTATGCCAAACCATGGTGATTAGCCATGGTGGCTTTATAGGTCAAACCATGGCATCGACCGATGGTGACACTAAATGATGTCGGATCATGGTGATGAACCATGGTGGCTTTATAGGTCGAACCATGGCATAGGCCGATGGTGACACTTGATTTATCGTATAATGTATATAAACTATGACATTAAAACAACAAAAAGTGGTTTGTTTATGAGGAGTATGTGGTGCATTTGGTACTTTATCATTGTGCATTCACATTCGTCCTTATTAGCGATGTACTAAAAATATGAGAATCGTTCCTTACGATCCATATAACGTATGGCTTGAAGTGTGAAGTATTTTGCCCGGTTCACATAAGAGCGAAGCAATAAGGAGCTTGCGTCTTTTAAAACTGAAGTGTCATTGAACTTAAAAGTTGAATTCGCTATGTATACTTTTTTCTTGATGACTTGAGAAGTTTACCTTGAAAAGTTAAAGACCATAAGAGTATACTCCGAGTGAGTTTATTTAGAAGTAGTTTGGCTCGTCTCATGGAAGGACGGAGCGCCAGTCTTGCCAAAAAGAGAATCGAGGAGTTGGTGCCACCGATATGATGTAGTAATTTCCTAGGGTCAAAATTTTTCTTGCGTTGCACTATTTCAAAGATCTGACTCGCGTTCAGGGAGTGTTGCTTTTGATGCTTTTTTTTCTCTTTTTTGCTCTTTTTTTATATATCGTAGTTGTGAATTGATTATGACCCCATGCAGGTATTTTATCGAGCAACTTATGCCATTTTTCTAGATCATTTATAGAAGTGTCATAGCTAGATACATTTACGGTAAGTAAAGTGGATTATTTGTTGATTCAACGTGACTCGAATGGAGTGCGTCCGCGCGGTATAATTTGTCAAAATAAATCTCGTTCATTCTATGCCAATCGTGTTAATAGTGAATCTAGTTGTGTCCGTTGTGACTTGTGATCATGAAATCCCATGAAGCATGCAATTTTAAGTATGATTGTTGATCGTATGAGTGAACATATTTCCATAAGCATGTATCGAGAATGACATGGGTAATCTTATAAGCAGATATATGTGGACAAATTCTAAAAGTTGGGTTTTGTTTTTGTGATTGCAATAAGTACGTAACTAGCTGATAATCAATAGATAATCGTGTCACTAAAGTCGATTATCAAATGGAAACATGGGAGATATTATTAAAAAAGGGGAGTTATTATTAAAAATCTGAGCAGTCCTTGTGGTTATTATTCACTCATAAACTTCTTAATTTTGTTAGTGGGTATTTTACGAACAAATTAATGGGAGGTAGGTATTTGGATTTTCCAACATCTGGGGTTTAAAATAACTTGAAAGCAGATCACGAGGAAAACTAGCGATATCCCGGAGGCAACCAAATAAAGCTATCACTTAGGTTTAACAATATATATATATATATATATATATATATATATATATATATATATATATATATATATATATATGGGTTTTAGGTGCCCAATATCAGGTGACGCTATTTGCTAAGGTGATACGTCGATTCAGAGAAAATGAACTGAACCACGGTTGAAGATACCAATCCTAACCATGGTTGATGATACCGAACTGATCCATGACTGACTATACTGCACC